TTGTATCGCTGAAGTTCCTCGGAAAGGATTTCTACCGGAAATTAACAAACAAGCAGATACGTAACAATATTTAATGTTAGTCATTGTACTATTAGCGAGGTATTTTCCATTGAAACATCATTTGTAAATGTAGGCCAATAAGTCACAACAGTATACAAGTAAAGGCAACTTGTAGAAATGTTAAGGAAGAAATAAACTAATTTATCATTATGTGTACTGGACTTCAAACTATTTTCACCAAATAATTTTAAAAATTCCACCCAATAAAAGAAGAATGTTACAACACACCCTTACAGTTGAAATGCAATAAAATAATGACTACTTGTCTCATTTGTCAAACATGTAAATGTGCTACTGTTTCGATGCATTTGATCATTACTTATGTTTGTGTTCTTTATATGGTCTCAGTTTACATTAGGCCTAGGGCATTGATAAATATTTCTTACTCAGTGAAATAAAATGTTATGCAAGTCAGAAAATGTGGTAATGGTTATTTTTCATTATAACCTAAGGATATTCAAAATTGTTATGTGTATGATATTTTAAGTTATGCCACCAGATGGGGTTTCATTCTTATGCAGTTTATGCCAGATAAATAGTAAATATATATATATATATGTAGAATTAATTTGGATATGGATTGGCCTTGTGGTAGAGCTCTAGATTTCAAAGTTAGTGAGCTAGGTATGAATCTGTGTGATACCACAAAATATTCCCCACATTTTAAGCTGTGGGTACATTATAAAAAAAGGTCAGTACCTTAACATAGATGGTGGGTGGTAGGATGCTATTGACTTGCTTCTTTCCATCTGGTCAGTAGTTCAAAATTAAGGGCAGCGGTGGATAGCCTTAGTATCTTTTGCCAAAAATATAAAAAAACAAGTAAATAATGACATTGAAAAGTAGTCTAGAGTAGAAATTTATTATATTAAATAACTGAGTATATAAGTTGTATGATGCTGTAAAGTTGAATATACCTTATAAGTGGGTCATAACAGAAAGAAAAGAATGCTAAAATTTGGCTCTGCATTCTGCTGTAAATAGCCATCAGCAACTGTTTTCAGTGAGGTTTATGAATTTGTAGAATGTATACATGTAATATAAACTTTTAAATAAGAAAAGCATGAGTGCAGGTATTTATTTTCCTTGAAGCATATGACGTTGTAGAGGCAGGAAGTACGTGTTTGTGGATCTCGTCTTGCAGCACAGTAAAAAAAAAAAAGTCACAATATATTGAGGAAATCTAATATTAATACCATATTTTACTCTTCAATGGTATATTTGAAACAAAAAATACTTTTAAAGATTATGTGTTAATATCAAGAACAGAAGTTATTATATTCAGAAATAACAACTTTTTTATGTTCTTAAACGTGCATTTCACAAGATATTGAGCATTGATATATATACTCTGACTGGCTGCTTTATTGGGAATCCCCATAACACATTTATGGAATATCCCATCTATTTGCATATAAAAAGCAGACATATTGTTTTGTGTATCAGGTGAAAGTTTGAGTCCCTTAAAATATAGTCATGTAATAGTTAGACTACAAGACAATGAGTAAGAGAAAGAATGTCTCCAACTTTTGAAGGGTGTGATAGCAGGTGCCTGTTTAGCAAGAATGTTATAATCAAAGACTATTTCTTTGACTGGCTTCTCCAAGAATATGTCATCAGACTATACCAACTGTGGCAATCATTAAGGATATGTCTGTCATTAAGAAAACTGTAGCTGTCAACCACTGGTCACTGGTGACTGACTAAGGAAAAGATGATTAAGATTGGTTTATAAAGTGCATTGGTATTAAACTTTGTCCCATTTACCAACTTTTCAGCAGTGGTCAGAATTCAACTATCCCTAAATACACCATGCAAAGAAAAGTATAAAACTGGAATATCTTTTATGCAAATAGGAAAGCAAGAATTCAGTGATTCTCTAGTACAAACATTGTGAACAGTTAATCAGTGGAAGTGTATGATATGGTCAGGTAAATCATGGTTTACCCATTTCTGTGTTGCTGATAGAGTATTATGACATTTCTATTGACAATTCAAACTGCAAAAGATGATTTAACGATTTTCAAATAGCTACCTTCAAATATCTAGAGAGAGAATATATTGACACACATACAGATTTATAAATAAATATTTGAAAGGTTCACACATAGTATTGATTATCTATAATGTATACACAAAATTTAACTTTGTGAACTAATTTTCAAGTGTATGTGTATAGGAATATTGTATATATATATATCTGGTAGGTAGATATCAAGCTAATGTTTGAATAAAACTTGTTTCATAATGTGACAGAGCTATTAATGATTTATATAAGAGCTATACAGGACATAACCTCTTATCCATTTCATTAATGCCTGAGTAAGTATTATTTACTCCTTTTGTACAAAGTGAACATAGTTTGTGAAAGTATAATTAAAAAGGTTCACAATTTTGAGAGAATTATTTAATACAAGTTCATAGATTTTTATTTCTAATTCTCATAAACATATATTACCATGTGAATCAACTATCAGCTTGTAGAGTAGGTATAAGATATTTAGAAATTTTTTTGTTCTTAATGATGAATCTCAAAGAATTATTGTGAAAGTTCACATTTGGAAGGGCAGCAAAGATATGTTGTTCATATATGATTCTCAAAATGTATGTTCCGAACTATAACTATCATTGATAAGTCATGAGCTCTATGAATATGTGATTTTGTATTTTAGGCTTGTTCTCTTTGATGTTACAATGCTAAACTAGTAGCATTAACTATTTTCTAATTTTACATTGTTAGTTATTATTTTGTTTTATATTTTTTCTAAGTGATCTGAATTTGTTTTGTTTTCTTATAGGGAGTCATAGAAGTTGCTGTTGAGAAGACTGTTTTGAAGGACACAAACTCAGGATGGTGTTAAAATGTTAAAAAATTAATTAAGTTTAATAATACATCTTCTCTTCAAATGGAGGTTTGAAAGCTCTAGTCGTTTTATTGTGTTGGTGTATGTTTGTTACTCTAATGACTTTGGAAAAGTTAAAATAATGGGTAACTTCTGAATGTGTAAATATTTGTGAAAAATTGTGATTTATAAAGATATAGGTATCAATTGAGAAAAAAATGCTACGTGGAAGAATACGTTTACACACCTGCAAGATTGTTTTAGCAACCTCTCTTGTATGGTTTCTCTTGGGAGTGTGTCTGTTAATGTACTACACTGAGTGTATTGGTACATCTTGTGAACGTGGCAACAAGTTACGAGGAATAGTTTACAGTGGAAACCGTGTTCCATTTGTCAAATCACCAAATTCACCAGCAGGAGAGTTCAGGAGTTGGGAACATCCCGGTAAGGTATTTTATATTTTCAGTGAATTAAAATGAATTAAACACCTAGGTATGTTTTGTCATAACTGGAAATATTTGTTATTTTTTTAATGACTGTAGAAAAAAGTATGTAATTGTTTAAACATGTTCCTCTTCTTAAGCAATATAATAAACATACATTCTTTTCTACTCACATCTATGTTTAATAAGATCAATTTCTTTAATCTAAAAAAATACTGAAATAAGAATTAGATATCACATTGCAGTTATTACTCATATCTTGCACATTTTGACAATTTTCTGTACTTTGATCAAAAACACTTAAAGGGCCAATCCTATAATCTGGAAAAATTGTGTACAGAAAAGATTAAAATATACTTCATGATAACTTATGTTTGCCCATAATATTATTACAGACTGTAAAATGTTTTAGCATATTTACTTACATGTGAAAGTGAAAATAATTCTGATTGTTCTACTTTACTAATGTGGTGCTGAGTGAGAGAGATGTTGACTCTAAATGCTACTTATAAAAAAGGTTATGCATTGCATGTGGTATGTTAATGGTTGATTTGGCATTCAATTATAAATTTGAGCACCATGCTAGTAATGAGTGATGTGTTCTGTAGAACTGTATGTACCTAATAAGCAGGTATGGTGTCATCTACTTTGTACTACCTATGAGTTTTGAAAGTGCCATAAAATTTTGATAAAAGTAGCCTGAGTATAAACAGATGGTTGAGAAAGTACTTATTATACAATATGGGAATAACGTCAAAGAGTGGGTGTGGTAATTTTTCTTTTTTACGTGATTCTGATGTGAACCCAAGATCTCTCTCACACCATGTGAGTGCTTTACCAGATGAGCTAAAGGGTTAACCAAGTGGTAACTGTTAGTAAAGGCACTTCTTAACAATGCAAGCTACTATTAGTGGAACAACTTTATCTACAAGTAGACGTGACACTTGCATTTTCTATAATTATAAAGTGTTCTATTATTGTTCCCAGTTTTACAGAAGAATCCATCTAATTGGCCTGGAGAGAATGGAAAAGCAGTGATCATTCCTAAAGAGAAGGAGTCTTTAAAAATGGAAAAATTCAAGCTTAATCAGTTCAATTTACTGGCTAGTGATCGAATATCTCTCAATAGATCTCTCCCTGATTTTCGAATGGAGGGGTAAGGCTTGTTTTTTAAGGTTTAAAAATATATAAATAAGCCAGTTAAGAGCTAGACTGTAGCTTAAATCATGTGACAATTTACATGTTTAACAAGCATTATATTAAGCACATACATTGGAAACAAAATACTTGGTTTCTTGTGTTGTGAAATTATTATAGGTTATTACCTATTTGCTATTAAAGATATTTATTAATGTTCAGAAACTGTAGACAAAGAGCTACTGAATGGAGGTTTTTAACGTGAATCTACATTTAAGAATATTGATATTTCATGTAAAAGATGATTTCTTAACTAGTGAATGGCTGACACAAATTATTGCATTTCTTGGGACCTACACATTGATTAATATGGATATGGCATGATGAGAAACATGAAGCCTAACTAAAGGGATATTTTTGGATATGGAAGAAAATAAACAGAAAGTAGCCCAGTTTAAAAATACTGTATTTCTCTACAGTAATATAGTGGATAAAACAAATCAGTTTAAGCAGTAGTAGATCAATCATAAAATATTTAAAATAAATTGTAATTATAATATTAATAATAAAAATGTGCATTGACTTCTCAGGTGTAAAAATAAGGTATACCCCGATAAACTGCCAACAACAAGCATTGTAATTGTATTTCACAATGAAGCCTGGTCCACCTTGTTACGTACTGTTCAAAGCATCATTCGTACATCTCCAAGAGCACTGTTGGAAGAAATTATTCTAGTTGATGATGAGAGTGAACGTGGTAAGTTGCACATTTTTTCAATTTTGTGTCCTGACAACTCCAAGAGTTATTAAAGTGCTTAGGATTTTTAAAATATAAATATATATATATATATATATATATAT